TCTTCTGAAGAAGGGTCTAGGCCCGAAACGTCAGCCTTCCTGCTCCTCTGATGCTGCTTGGCCTGCTGTGTTCATGTGAGACCAGTTTGTTTTGGGATTATGTAGGCATGGACTGGTTGAACTGAAGGGTCTGTTTCTGTGCTGTATGACTCTGTGTTCCTCTAATTCTGGTGTCTTGATCATCCCTAATTTTAATCACTCCACCGTAGGTGGCTGTACCTACATTTCCCTGGGGTCTAAGCTCTGGAATTCCCTTCCTAAACCCCTTTTCCTCTTTACTGCACATTTCTCGTTTTAGACAATCTTTAAAACATACCTCTTTGTTGAAGCTTTTCTTCGTCTGATCTACTATTTACATTTGCAACTCAATGTCACCTTTAGTTTCATAGTTCTCCTGTGAACACCTTAGGGTGTTTTATTATGTTAAAAGTATTGTACAAATATAAGTTGTTGATGTTACCAATTTCCTTGTAAATCAGTTTCATTTCTTTAATCATGAATGCTTGCCTAACATTACAGTTAAGCAATGCTATTTACTTGTGGATTCACCACAAGACCTTGCGATTCAGCTTTATCAGAAAAATCAGTGATTGATTTTGATATATATTCACATTATAAGCTGGTTTAAAATTTTAAAAATGGCCATAGACACATAGATTATTTTAACTCCCAAGTAACAGGTATATTTGAGTTAAGTATAAGAATTTTAAATTGTAGAAGTTTGAAATCCAAATCCAGTGCATCTCACAGGAATCGTGCCTGTTGAAGGGTGACAAGGATTTGTGGATTAAATCGGTAACTGCCTTTCTGTTACTGTGTATAAGCGAAGAGAACATGAGTATCCATCAAGCTATTTTATTAACACTGCCAATGATTAAACCCTCTCCTGACACCCACTTCATCCCCTTCTGGGACACAATTCTTCCCCAACCTATAGTCTTCTCAATGAGCCTTCCCATCTTTGCCCCACCTCCCCCAATCAATCCCTGCTTTTATTTTCTGTCTGCTGATCATTAGGAACTTTTCTTTTAAAACGTCATTTGACAAAAACATTTTATAGTCATAGAAATGTTTTCTGGAATATTTTAATATTTATCAGGGCAATTAATACCCTGTTGATTTCCTGGCTGTGATTTTAAATGATGTTCTTTATTAAAAACTAATAGAATGGTTATGCTTCTGTTATAGAGCCTTTTGCTAGAAATGCGCAGAGATTTCTTACTCAGGAACCTAGAGGATGCCTTGCTGGAGACAGAACACCAGCTGAGCATGCTTGCGGATGAGATGAGGAGGTATAATTGTTTTGATTTTAATTCATTCATTAAATTCTGACCACTATTTAACTCATAATTATAAACTTATTATTGGAGCCGTGTTTATTGGAGACTTATTATTGCAAATGACAAGATGAATCTATTTCTCATAAACTCCATTGGCTGTGCTGGCATCAAACTAACAAATAAAAGTTCAAAATTTAACTACCAAAATTTCTGACAAGCATACTTTTCTTTTAAATTTGTCTGCTCAAAAGTATCATTTCTTTTGTGGTTCCATTCTGGGCCATTGGTTTAACTACATGTGAATCATGTTTTCCTAATGCAACCCAAAGTAACCTTGAATTTGATAGTTTTGCAAAGGAAGACTCAAATAGGACTTAGGCCATGATTTGCTTAAAAAGGATCTAACATCTGTTTTAGCCATAGGACACTTTTTTTTCCTGCCTTTACCAAACTGCCTTTCAGTACACTTCTGCCCCCTCAAACCTGTTTTGCCATTTAGTACATTCATGGCTCATCTTCAACTGTAACTTTCACTTTCCAACCCACTCACCTTTGTATTCAAACGTCTACTTATCTTAGTCCTGAACAGAATTAATGACTGAGCATCAAAATCTCTCTGACTGCCCTTCCTAAATGTCAAATATCTTTGATTGTTCAGGCCCAAGTCCTGGTCACGATACAGCCATATTTCTGTGATGGCAGTGAGATAATGCCTGTGTATCTCTATTTGTGCCTCATCTAACTTGTTGCAAATGTTCCATTTAAGTAGAATGCCCTTGATTTCAACTTTTAAATATCATTCCATACTTAACGCTCGGCTTTGTTTCTTCTGTTTTCTAACCTCCTGAGCATCTCCTTGACATTTTGTTACGAGCATTTTTCTTTGTTCTAATTTGGGTTACCCCTCAGGTTCCCATCTCCCAAAAAAAACTAGTTTAAACTCACCCCAACAGCACTAGCAAATCTCGCTGCAAACATATCAGTCTCAGTACTGTTAAGGTGTTGCCTGTCCATCTTGTACAATTCCCACCTTCAACAGAACCAGTCCCAATTCCTCGTTTTCTGCTTGGGAACCCTGCAGCACTCCAGACTCAAGATCAAGTTCAATAATTTTAGGGCCTAAACTCTCCCATGTCCTAGCCCGCTATCCCACACACCAGGCCTTGTTATCACATAGCCCGCCAATACACACTACCTATTGTTAGTCACTAACAGTCCCCATTAACAGCTATTCACCCTCCTTGCCAGATCGTTATCAACTCCTTTGTCTATCCAACTGCTCTTCTCTTTCTTTGGGCTCTGTCTCGTATGCTATTGTTTATTCCCTACTCCATCCCCCTCCCTATCTTCTGCATATAAACTGACATTTTCCTACCTACCATCAGTTCTGAGGAAGGGTCACCTGACCCAAAACGTTAACTCTGATTTCTTCTTCACAGATGCTGCCAGACCTGCTGAGCTTTTCCAGCAACCTCTGTTTTTGTTCCTGATTTACAGCATCCACATTTATTTTGGTTTTTAATCAGTCCTCCTGTTCTGACATTGAAATGCAAATGGTACTGGGAGTAATCCTGAGGTGCTGCTTTTAAATTTCCTTCCTTACTCCTTGAAAACTGCTTTCAGGACCTTATCCCTCTTTGAACTTACAGTTTTGGTAGAATTGTGGACCACGAGTTCTGGTTGATTTTGCTCCAGGTGAAGGATGTCTTGCAGCTGCTCTGTGACATCCTTGACCCTGACATAGGAAGACAACACACCATCCTGGATCACGTTTACTGTGGCAGAAATGCCTGTCTAGTCCTCTGACTATGGAATCCACTATGACTATTGCTGTTATGTTCTTCCTCCCCTCTCTGTAGCTGAGTCATTTGTGGTGCCGTAGGCTTGGTTCTAGGGGCTTGGAAAAATAAGGAAAATACATTAACACTAGGCTGACATATTTACTTCACAGACGTCTGTACTTCATTGCAGACAGATTGCTGACCCATCACAGATTCAGGCTGCTGTAAACAAGTGGGAAGCTATTGCTGCTGATCTCAGAAGTAAAATTGAATACACAAAGGTATGGAAAGTACTGAAAGTATCCTTTCCTTTGCTTTTATGATAATTGTATATTTTAAAAGCTGAACTAAATTAGTAACTGTGTCATTAGAAGACTGTATAATGTTCTCCTTATTTTAATACCTTATTCTTCTCATGAAAAACCTTACATGTGTTGTTGTGCCATCCTTGTTACAATTTAAGCATGTCAAATACAGACCCAAATCTCTTGCCAAAATGTAATACTCTTACAGAACTATTTTGAAACTCAATTGTATGTCCGTTCTGCAAATTTGTAAATTTACAGCATTCCTTCTCACTGCTAACTGCCCCTCTCCATTTGGCATCATCAGCAAACTTAGAAGTTTATGCCTGTGATTCCAAAGTTTACATTGCTAATATAAATTGTGAATGACTGTAGTTCCAGATATGACCTTTGTGGGGTTTCATTGTCCATTTCCTGGCACTCTGAATAGCTTTCTACTGTCTATAGTCTACATGCCTGCTGTGTACCATTTGTCTTGAATCCAGCTCGGAGTTTGTTTTCTTTTGAATGCCTTGATTGCCAATTAAATTCAGGCCATACCACAGTTGCATGTCACTGCTTTCAAAATATTTCAGCTGAGTCCTTAAAGAGCATAATCTGAGTTTTTTCACTCCACATAACCTCTCTTGTTGCCACACCATTGATGTGTAGGGAAGAATTGGAAATCAACAAAAAGTATTGTGAAGCAATGAGGAAAGAGTCAGAGATTAATTGAAAGAGCTGACAAAAAGATAAGGAGATGAATAGCCTTCTTCTGTGTCCTGTGATGGTGTGAAACTGCTGTTGAGGTATATCTGTGATTTTCCTCAAATCAAAATAGTCCCTTGCTATTATGCATTCAAATAAGTTATCAAACAATTTTCCAATATTGACAGATTGTCAGCACCTGCTTTTTTGTTGTTTTTTTCTCTTTTGATACGAATATTCATATCAAATAACTTGCTTCCAAGAACATTTAGTAAGTCTTTTCAAGCAAATAACAAAGGGACAAGAGTGAATTTCTGAGGTAGTTAAATTTTGAATATAACAATCATTGCAGATACAACAGACAATTAGGAAAACAAATGCAATTTAAGTCGGCACAAGACAAAAGGCATGCATTAGCAACAGAAGATTTTTCAAAATAACTAATGCATTTATACACGCAAAAGAAACAATTATCCAAAACACACCTTTCACAGACTGGTGGGTTTGCAGCAAATGTGTGTCCATCTCATATGCGCATAGCTGGAAGATTTTAATCAGGCACCTACCCTTTTCACATCATCTCAGATTTAAATTTAACAATATAGCTATGTTTTTTACAACAGCATCCACTACATTATATTCATTCCTACACATACGCAGCCTAAAGCTAAAGATTCCACATTCATTTGGAAGGAATTCATTACCTCTGTTGTGGTTTTCATTGGCTTCTGTTTACCTTAGTAGACCCTTGTTCACTGTTCACTTTCTTCTGCAGTCTCCATTTCTCTCTTTCCCCACTCCTCTAGCCTTCCTCTCTCACTCTTTCAGTCCTTGCAGCCTTCTTGCCTTTGCAGACTCCCTTTCTCTCCCAAATCAGCCTTCTCTCCTTCTCTGCTGCCCTAATTCATGCAATCCCTTCATCTAGCTATCTTCTGCACTCACCCCTACGTTCTCTCCTGCTATCTCTTTCCCTTGAAGGAGGGCACTATGGAGGACTCGAACAGTGAGGCAATATGGGCAGAGCTCAGAAATAGGAAGGGTGCGGTAACAATGTTGGGGCTGTACTACAGGCCTCCCAACAGCGAGCGTGAGATAGAGGTACAAATATGTAGACAGATTATGGAAAGATGTGGGAGCAACAGGGTGGTGGTGATGGGAGATCTTAATTTTCCCAACATTGACTGGGATTCACTTAGTGTTAGGGGTTTAGATGGAGCAGAATTTGTAAGGAGCAACCAGGAGGGTTTTCTAGAGCAGTATGTAAATAGTCCAACTCGGGAAGGGGCCATACTGGATCTGGTGTTGGGGAATGAGCCCAGCCAGGTGGTTGAAGTTTCAGTAGGGGATTACTTTGGGAATAGTGATCACAGTTCCGTAAGTTTTACAGTACTGATGGACAAAGACGAGAGTGGTCCTAAAAGAAGAGTGCTAAATTGGGGGAAGGCCAACTATAGCAAAATTCGGCTGGAGCTGGGGAATGTGGATTGGGAGCAGCTGTTTGAGGGTAAATCCACATTTGATATGTGGGAGGCTTTTAAAGAGAGGTTGATTAGAGTGCAGGACAGACATGTCCCTGTGAAAATGAGGGATAGAAAGGGCAAGATTAGGGAACCATGGATGACAGGTGAAATTGTGAGACTAGCAAAGAGGAAAAAGGAAGCATACATAAGGTCTAGGCGACTGAAAAGAGACAAAGCTTTGGAAGAATATCGGGAAAGTAGGATCAATCTGAAACGAGGAACTAAGGGGGCTAAAAGGGGTCATGAAATACCTTTAGTAAACAGGGTTAAGGAAAATCCCAAAGCCTTTTATTCGTACATAAGGAGCAAGAGGGTAATTAGAAAAAGGGTTGGCCCACTCAAGGACAAAGGAGGGAAGTTATGCAAAGAGTCAGAGAAAATGAGTGAGATTCTTAATGAGTACTTTGCGTCGGTATTCACCGAGGAGAGGGACATGACGGATGTTGAGGTTAGGGATAGATGTTTGATTACTCTAGGTCAAGTCGGCATAAGGAGAGGGGAGGTGTTGGGTATTCTAAAAGGCATTAGGGTGGACAAGTCCCCAGGTCCGGATGGGATCTACCCCAGGTTACTGAGGGAAGCGAGAGAGGAAATAGCTGGGGCCTTAACAGATATCTTTGCAGCATCCTTGAGCATGGGTGAGGTCCCGGAGGACTGGAGAATTGCTAATGTTGTCCCCTTGTTTAAGAAGGGTAGCAAGGATAATCCAGGAAATTATAGACCGGTGATCCTGACGTCAGTGATGGGGAAGCTGCTGGAGAAGATACTGAGGGCTAGGATCTATTTACATTTAGAAGAAAATGGGCTTATTAGTAATAGGCAGCATGGCTTTGTGCAGGGAAGGTCATGTCTTATCAACTTGATAGAATTCTTTGAGGAAGTGACAAAGTTGATAGAGGAGGGAAGGGCTGTAGATGTCATATACATGGACTTCAGTAAGGCATTTGATAATGTTCCCCATGGTAGGCTGATGGAGAAAGTGAAGTCGCATGGGGTCCAGGGTGTACTTGCTAGATGGATAGAGAACTGGCTGGGCAACAGGAGACGGAGAGTTGTAGTGGAAGGGAGTTTCTCAAAATGGAGAACTGTGACCAGTGGTGTTCCACAGGGATCCGTGCTGGGGCCACTGTTGTTTGTGATATACATAAATGAGCTGGAGGAAGGTATAGATGGTCTGATTAGCAAGTTTGCAGATGACACTGAGATTGGTGGAGTAGCAGATAGTGAAGGGGACTGTCAGAGAATGCAGCAGAATATAAATAGATTGGAGGGTTGGGCAGAGAAATGGCAGATGGAGTTCAATCCAGGCAAATGTGAGGTGATGCATTTTGGAAGATCCAATTCAAGAGCGAACTATACGGTAAATGGAAAAGCCCTGGGGAAAATTGATGCACAGAGAGATCTGGGTGTTCAGGTCCATTGTACCCTGAAGGTGGCAACGCAGGTCGATAGAATGGTCAAGAAGGCATACGGCATGCTTTCATTTATCGGACGGGGTATTGAGTACAAGAGTTGGCAGGTCATGTTACAGTTGTATAGGACTTTGGTTCGACCACATTTGGAATACTGCGTACAATTCTGGTTGCCACATTACCAAAAGGATGTGGATGCTTTGGAGAGGGTGCAGAGGAGGTTCACCAGGATGTTGCCTGGTATGGAGGGCGCTGGCTAAGAAGAGAGGTTGAGTAGGTTAGGATTATTTACATTAGAAAGACGGAGGTTGAGGGGGGACCTGATTGAGCTCTGTAAAATCATGAGAGGTATAGACAGGGTGGATAGCAAGAAGCTTTTTCCCAGAGTGGGGGACTCAATTACTATGGGTCATGATTTCAAGGTGAGAGGGGAAAAGTTTAAAGGAGATAACGCGTGGAAAGTTCTTTATGCAGAGGGTGGTGGATGCCTGGAACGCGTTGCCAGCAGAGGTAGTAGAGGCAGGCACGATAGCATCATTTAAGATGTATCTAGACAGATACGTGAACAGGCAGGGAGCAGAGGGATACAGGTCCTTGGAAAATAGGTGACAGGTTTAGATAGAGGATCTGGATCGGCGCAGGCTTGGAAGGCCGAAGAGCCTGTTCCTGTGCTGTAATTTTGTTTGTTCTTTGTTCTCTTTGTTCTTCCTAACTCCTATCTTGTTCCCTTGCAACCAACCCCTGGAAATTCCTCTTCCTGTCTTTTCCTGACGCCTACCCCCAGTCCTGCAGCTACTCACTCTTTCACTCCCACCCTTGGAATCTCCCACCTCTTTCTCTTCCTCCTTCATTCCTGCATTACCCACTTTCTTCCCCACATCATCATGCTGTCTCTTTCTTTCAACTCAATAGCTACCCTAACCTTGCAGCCTACCTCTCTCTACTCTCCGCAAGTCTTGCAGCCTACCCCCCTTTCTCTACCCGTATAGTCTCCCTTCTCTCTTTTTAACCCCAACCCTTGCAGCTTTCCCACACCCAAGGCATTTGACAAGATGCCATACTTTAGGCTACTTAATAAGGAAAGAGCCAATGGTATTGCAGACAGTACATTAGCATGGATAGAGGATTAGTGAACTAACAGAAGACAAAGAGTTGGGATAAGGGGGGCTTTTTCAGGATGTTAGCCTGTAACAAGTGGTGTGCTACCAGGATCAATGCTGGGGCCGCAGTTATTTGCAGTATATCTTAATGATTAATGATTAATGATGAGAAAAGTGAACGTACTATAGCCAAGTTTGCGGATGACAGAATGAGGTTATAGACAGATTAAGTTAAAAGGCAGAAATTTAGCAGTTGGAATACGATGTGGGGAAATGTGATCTTATGCACTTTGGCAGGAAGAATAAAGGAGCAAAATAGTATTTAAATGGAGAAAGACTGCAGAAAGCTACAGATCAGAGGGATTTGTGATTCCTCATCCATAAATTACAAAATGCTAGTATCCAAGTTTGGTGGAGAACATAGAGAAGGCAAATAGAATGTTAGCCTTTTTTTTTCCAAGGGAATGGTGTGTTAAAGTAGGGAAGTCTATACAAAGCACTGGTCAGAGCACAGCTGGAATACTGTGAACAATTTTGAGCTCCTTATTGAAGGGAAAAAATACTAGCATTGGAGACAGTGCAGAAAAGATTCACTAGGCTGATATCAGGTACGGAGGGACTGTCTTATGAGGAGAGGCTAAGCAGATTGGGTCTGTACTCATTGGAATATAGAAGAATGAGAGGTGAAACATATAAGATTCTTAGAGAACTTGACAGGGTAGAAAGGTTGTTACTCCTTGTGGGAGAGTCTAGGATGAGAGTGCATTATCTTAAAATAAAGTATATTAAGTACATTTAAGGCTGAGGTAGACACATTATTAATCAGTAAGGGAACAAAGGGTTATGGGAAAAAGGCAGGAGCTTTAGAAGGGTGAGGGGTATGGCATTGAAACTTAATACTGAGAGGCCTGGATAGAGTGGACATGGGGGAAGATGTTTCCACTGGTGGGAAAGACTAGGACCTGAGGGTACAGCTTCAGAGTGAAGGGATGACCCTTTAGAACTGAGATGAGGAGGAATCTGTGGAACACATTGCTGCAGAAGTCACTGAGTGTATTTAGGACCTAGATAGATAGGTTCTTGATTAATAAGGGGATCAAGGGTTACAAGGAGAAGGCAAAAAAATGGGATTGAGAAACATACCAGCCATGATCAAATGGCAAAACAGATTTGACAGGCTGAATGGCCTAATTCTACTCCTGTATCTTATGGTCTTATAGTCTCTCCCTCTCTCTCTTCTTCTCTCATTGCTGCAGCTATCCTCTTTCTTGCTCCATCTATCTCAACCTCCTCCTCTAATGCTCTATTCCTTCACAATCTCCTCTCTTTCTTTTATCCCCTGACCCTTTCTACTTCTTTCCCTCCCTCCACCTCCATCCACCCTCGCTCCACGCCCCAAACCAATGTATCCATCCCTGTCTTTTACCCTGCCAGGCTCACCAACTTACACTTCTCCGATTCCGCTTCTCCGGCCCACACACTCCCTCTCAGAGGCCTGTGATCTTTCACCTCACCTCGTACCTTCTCGCTAGTCCTACCAGCAGCAAGCACAAGAAAGAACCATCCTATGATTGGAGAAGTAACTCCTCAGAGATACTGTCCATTCATCTCACAGCACCTCCATAATTGAATTATCCTTTGAGGGTGACGTTCTCCTATGCTCACATGTGTTACATGTTATGTCAGTAAGCCCAGGCCCTGGTAATTAGCTACGTTTTGGGACAACATACTTGCCTAAGATGGGATGCAGTGTAGGTTCATTACATCGGTTTCTTGGAATGAGAATATTGTCCTTTGAGGAGAGACTTTATAGAATGGGCTTTCAGTCATGAAGTTGAAAAGAATGAAATATGATCTCACATAAAATTTTTAGAAGGCTTGACACAGTAGATATTGAGGTACTGGTTGTCCTGGCTGAAGATTCTAGCCCCTTGGGCTATTGAGTCACGTTAAGGACATGGCCATTTCAGATTTTTGAGAATAAATTTCTTCACTTGAAAGGTTGTGAATATTTGGAATTCTTTGTCTCAGAGAGCTGTGGGGATTCGGTCATTGAATAAATTCATGTCTGAGATTTATTAATTTTTGGACATTGCAGGAATCTAGGATATGGGGACAAGGTGGAAACATGGAGTTGTGTTGGATGAGCCATGGTCATACTGAATGGCAAAGCAAGCAAGTGACCATAAAGCCGCCTTCTATTTTTTATGAATTTATCCTACCCAATTCTACTTAATGGAGCTTGTTTATTTCGCTTCCTATCTCAGGGTCAATAGAATTGATTCTGTTATTGCTGTCACTATCACCAGCTGGAATCAGTTAGTTAATTCAATACAAAGCAAAATCAGATTTGAAACCTCCCTAGACTCTAAGACTAAGGCTGCCACACTGAACAGTGCATATACACACTGATGTTGATCCATAACATGAAACAAAGGAACAAGTGATTAATAATTGGATTTTCTTTTTGTTCACCATTCAGATAAACTTCAATGATCACATCTATCTGATCAAAAAGGGAGCCAAACTGAGTAATCTGCCTATGCTCAGCAATCCTGAACCTCCAACCTCACTTTCTTTGCACATTCTGGTAAGCAGGGGCAGGGTCAGCAATCACAGGTTTTGGTGCTGCTGTTTGCATGGGCTCCTGGCCACTCATCTGAGTACAGTGGGTCTTCCCTCATCCAAGCATAGCAGCCCCACCCCTAACTTGAGCACATCCCCTAAAGCCCCAGACCCCATTTATTGGGTGCTGATGTACTCCTGTGTCCTTGACCCTGGTAAGTAGATTGTTTTCTCTGTGCTGAAGAATCTGGATAAGTGGATACTTAATTTCATCCCTGTTATAATGAAGACAATATGTACAGATACGACAGGAGCAAACAATGGTGTTGGGAACATTAGAGAGCAGGGATACATGAACAGATGAAATAGAAAAAAATGTTGGGATTTCTATTCAGCATTTAAACAGAAGAGGAAACATTTGTGTTACTGTAGTATGGATTCAAGTTAAAACCATCCAAAGTTTGACTTCAACTGACATAACCAGATATCTGCATTCACATTTTTCTTTCCTTCTTTATTTTTGGTTAAAGTCTGTTTAAATGAATCCATGGGAATGTTAGTAATATACAGGAACTATTCAGTGATGTTCATTTTAGTTGCAGCCACATCTTTTAGGGAAATTGAATTTTTTTAACATTCAAATTAAAGACTCACATGCAGTTTTTCAATTCAGAACCTCACAGTTGTGTATTAATCCTTAATGGTATTAGTTTGATGGGTACATATATATTTAAGGTGGACATTAATTTTGATTGATTTAAAAGGAACTAGAGAAAATATATTGACTACATTTCAAATTATTGCAATTTTTGAAAATGTATCACTATATTTGGGGAGCTCCACAATCGCTGTGAAAGGGGGAAATGCCACTGAGTTCAGAAAGAACCCCAAAACAGTGTAATCAGGATTCTTCCAGAGTTTACTTTCAACCTTTCCTACTTTACTTACATTCCCCTTTCCTAAAATGATGGGCTCATACTGACATATTGTTGTATGGATGGCTGGCAGCCCTTGGGTAACTTAGACAACTGGTAGCTTCCTGTTTGAATATTCTCAGACTATTGAAACTTCAGTGCTACAGCACTTTCTCTCTCTTTCATACACATTTGCACAGATAGTTGAGGCCAATTATAGTGTCCAACAAACAATTCCAGTACAACTGTGGCACTGCAACCAAATGAATTAGGAGCTGTTCGATCACTCAAGTCTGCTCCTCAATTAAATAAGATCACGGCTGATCTGTTTATGTTCTAAATCCCATGTTCCCATCTATTCCCAATAATCTTTGATTGACTTGTCTAAAAAGACTCTGTATACCTCCATCTTAAAACTACCTGCTGATGCAGAGTTCTAAGGTTACACAATCCGTTAAGAGTAAGAATTTCTCCTCATCTCTGACCTGAAAGGGCGACCACTAATTTCAAAATGGTGTCCCTGAGTTGTGGATTAACCCACAAAACCAGTTCCTTTCCATGTCAACCTTGTCAAGTCCATTCAGGATCTTATGAACTTCAGCCAAATCACCCTTCATTCTTCTAAACTCCAATGGAAACAAGCCCAGCCTATCTAACCTACACTTACAAAACAACATACTCATTCCAAGTATCAATCAATACATGTTCCTCAATACATTTTCATCTTTCCTTGACCTACCAGTCTCGCCCTTCACACTAACAGAAATGTACTGCCTCTGGACTCTCGTTATCTTATTTTTGAAGGCCTCCCACTTTCCAACCATCCATTTACCTGCAAATAGCCTCTCCCAATCAACTTTTGAAAGTTCTTGGTTAATACCATCAAAATTGGCCTTACTCCAATTTAGAACTTTAACTTTTAGATCAGTTCTATCGTATTCCGTAACTGTTTTAAAACTAACAGAATTATGATCACTGGCCCCAGCGTGCTCCTACACTGACACCTCAGTCACTTGCCCTGCCTTATTTCCCAAGAGAAGGTCAAGTTTTGCTTCTTCTCTCATAGGTACATCCATGTACTGAATAAGAAAATTTTCTTGTACACATTTGACAAATTCCTCTCCATCAAAACCTTTAACACTATGGCAGACCCAGTCTATTTTGGAAAGTTAAAATCCCCTACCATTACAACTCTCTCATTCTTACAGGTATCTGAGATCTCCTTACAAATTTGGTTATCAATTTCCAACTGAATATTGGGCGGCCTATAGTACGATCCCAATAAGATGATGATCCCCCTTCTTATTTTTCAGTTCCACCCAAATAATTCCACTGGATGTGCTCACAGGAATATTCTCCCTAAGTGTAGCCATAACGTTATCCCTAACCAAAAACGCCACTCCTCCTCCTGCCTTGCACCCCCTCCCGCCAATCCTTCCTGTAGCACCTATACCCTGGAACATTAAGCTACCAGTTCTGCCCTTTCCTGAACCATGTTTCTTTAATAGTTATGATAACCCAGTCCCTGACCATACCCATACCATATCCTGAGTGCATCTGCCTTACCTGTCAGGCCTCTTGCATTGCAATAAATGCAGTTTAATTTATCAGTCTTACCTCGTTCTCTGCTTAGCTCTCACTTGCCTCGACTATTTGACTTGCTCCTCTTCTCAACTGTACCATCTTCAGACTTACCTCATTTCTCACTATTACTGGAATGTTTTCTGTATTTTCCTCTATAGTGAAGACAGAAGGCAATTTATTTCTATTTCATTCACCATTTCCTTATTATCTGCTATGAATGCCCCATTCTCACTTTTACTCATTTTACATTCTCTTTTCCTTTTTAAATATCTGTATAATATCTAATATCATTCTTCTGATTAACCTTTTAGTCAGTCTCTGCTGTTAAAATTGGGACCTTCAGTGTCGGTGTGATTCAGTATTAAACCAGTTTTTTATCTAACAAGGTGCAAGACACACCTTATTCACATTCTGTTTGATTGTTGGTTCTATTTACTTCCTTGGGTCCTATTTCGGTACATCATCCAAGCAGTAATATTTATCATATGACTATAGGGAATGAATAGTGAAAAGTGGAAGTTGTTTGACTATGAGGGAAATTATGTCCAATATCTAAACCTCACCTTATTAATGTGCATCATTCAAGCACTTTCTATCAGGGAATTACTGAATAATGATTAGATCATAAACACTGACTATCTTAACTCCTCCATAAGTCAGGGTCGATAATATCAATTGTAACACCCACCACTGCTTGCTGTGCTGTAAACAGCTGATATGAGCACAAAGGATAAATTAAACTACATCTGTATGGCTTAGCTACAAAATAGTCTTCGTAGGGATTTGGAAAGAAAATTAATACTACAAATATTCTATACTTAGCTATAACTTTATCTGTGTGTTATATTTAACTTATTTTTGTAGAAATCTCAAAGGAAAGCAAGCTCTCAGTATTTATCAGAGCCTCAGCCTTCTCTACAATTGCATGCTGCAACCACAACCGCTACCACATCCACTGCAACATCCAGTATCTTACAAGGATATAGAAACAGGTCGGTATTAAATCAATTGCAAGTTTGTTTGGTACTGATGTCTTAATGGAGTCAATCTCATTACCATTGAACATACATACTGATTATAGGGTAAGAGCATCTCCAGTAGGCCACTGATTACAATAAGTTTAAAATGTTACAGCTGATTATCATCAACCTCCTACCACTGAAGTCTTGCTTTCTTCCAGAATTGAATATCATCTGAAAACTGAAAAGTATGCTGTTCCAATTTGACTTTCTTTTAGCTGCAACAATATTGATATTGTTTCAATAGAATCCTAAACTGCTATAAATGAATTGTCAGTGCTGGTAATTACAAACCTATTCAATTAATCTTTTAACTGTGCACGAACAATGAGTAATAATCCATGCAGATCCCAGATTCCATTGCCATACATATTGAGCTTGGTGATCTCAGCTCAGTCAGTGAGACTGCAATATGTCTCTCTTGCTTCTGGATTAAGCAGGGAGTAACAGATAAGGAATTCAGTCGTAATTGCAAATGAATAATCCTTTTTAAAATTGTGTGTACAGGAATTGGGTACAAAGAGGTTGCATGATGCCTCTGTCTTCCAATAGATGAAGAATTGGAAGGCACTCATAGTGCTGTAATCCAGAAAATTTAAAATTCCAGGATGCAATGGGAGACAATTGATGGCAAAAGAAACATTTAAAGCTTTGTTCCTGTCTAAACTAGGTGTAGGAAGTATTCTATCAGTATTTTGTTTTCTTCCAGGGACAGTAAATTTGATGTAATTAATTCTGCCATCATTATATCCTTTCTTGATACCTGAATTATGCAAAGAAGGAAAGCAGTTAAATGATGCCTGTGGAACTTTATTTTTTTTTGCCTTCATAGGTAACTAAGGAACATGACTTTCTACCTTAAAATTTCAATAACTTTCAAAACTAAGCATATGATATGAATTTATGCAATTAAATTTTATATTTCACAGTTTGACATCCAATATCAGAAGGTTGAGTACAGAGCCATTATCAGTGAAAATTTAAAGATTTTATAGAAGTGGCAGACAAGAAAATACTTTGAAGAAGTTGCACAATGTCATGGTGCAATTCAGTACTGCTCTGAACTAACAGCTTTGATTTTTCTGCACATGTTCTGGAATATGACTTGAACCCTAAACCCTATTGTCTGTATCTTCAGCTTTTGTTGCCTTTGCTGTTCTTCTAAAATGTATTTTAATTTAGCTTATAACGATATTGACTTGTCCTTGAATTGATCATTTAACCACTTTGGTTTTGTTTTACCATATACCTTTCTCTTAACCCTGGGGAAATGACTTAGTGAAGTTGCCCAATCAAACTGACTCAGGTCTACCTTCACGTTTGCAAATTTAGTCCTCTTGAGATCTAGAAGTATCATTACATTTTTGTCAACTTCAATTGAATCTAATGATATTTTAGTCACTGTTGCTAAGGTATTTGATATTGTATCAGGGCTGTCATACATACTGAACAAGGATACCTGATTAACCCTAATCACCTCACTATCATGTTCTGTAAGGTAACAATGAGTTCTTTTATCTACAGACCTGTTGACTGAGATGCCCTCCAAATTCGAAGGCGTGCTAGTGAAATAACAAATCCCTAGGGAAATTAAAATTTCCCAATCTATAGACTTCCTGATTTAAATTACTTCAAGCAGTAGCATTTTTTTTTTGCCTTTACTATCCAGCATATAAGACCCAAAACAGGACATATCAACTCTTTCAAGACATCAGTGAGTAAAGGCTTATTTCTGTTGGAGGCATTAGGCATGTCAGCTATATAGCTCCTAGATGCAGGTGGCTAAGCGCTAATTCTTTTGACTCTAGGGTCTTAGATTAAGACAAAATTGGCATGAGTCATTTCTCTCTGGCAATTATAAGATTAGATTTCTTAGTTTGCTTAATTTCACAGCATAAGTTGCTAGTAAATTGTCAGTCCTATTCAGCAAAGGCTACAATGATGCAATATGGGAAGAAAAGTTTGTGACACATCTGGTAGGAACTTTGATACTTATTATGGATGCTATGTCTCAAATCTGGCTGTGCAGTGTTTTTTTTTTCAGGGTGGATACTGGGGAGCCAATAAACAACTTTCTAAGTTTCGAAATTAGTGATCAGAAAGGAGAAACTCACCAGAAGTGGGCATGTGTCATATTATTAAAAACCAGAATAATCAGCATGCAGTGCCCTGGCCTGAGCCCTCTATGTTAGCAAATAAAGGACCTACATTGTAGTGGTTTTGAGGCTAGTATTGCAAGATTATTTTGTCCTAAGACTGTCAGAGACAGCAGCATTCAGAAAAAGCAGTTCTATCTGCAGCCAACAGGCACTCCTTGAAAGTACAGTCCATTAGGCACAACCAAAAGGTATAGTTATAAATATATCTGCCTGATGTGGAACAATAGTTCTAACCCTAAACTCAAACACCATGGCCACTGAAGCCAGTGACCTGTCCTATCTACCATCCCAATTTCCACAGCTACCCAACACCACTGCCTATCTTTTGATTCCTCACATCCTTGACTATATGAGCCCACCCCTCTCTTATCTACGGACAGCAGCTGGCATTGTTCCTGCTTAATCTTTGGTCCCACTTCATCTGCAAACTCCAAGTTATTGTCTGCAGCTTGCCAACTTAATGGTAACAAAGCCCAAAACCAATATTCGCTGTATATTGAGATTCAGACACAGGGATGATTGCCTGCATAAACTATGCAGGTCTGAATTTCTAGACCGTTGCCATATATTACTGTGCAATTGTGTGTTATTTTCCTTGAAGGTCAGAATTAAGCAGTTTTGTTGATCAAGGACAAACTGAACAGAAAATGTGGACGAGAATTGAAAATCAGAAGGCCTGTAAGCAGTTGGTGCAACAGCAGGTATAAAATGACATCAGATAACGATTGTATTTCTATGGTGTGGTTATTGTCATAACAGATCTACAATACATTGTGTTCTAATTCAGTGACTAACTGATTTCACTATTTTAAATGCACTTTCTTTGAGCATACAATCAATATATTTCAAAATAATTTTTAAAACTAGGAGTCTTCATAGTCAGTTCATCTTTCAGTGCAGTGCTGTCTCTTACACATTAGCAAGGTTGTTAATCCACGCTGATTTAACCTGTCCTCTGAGGACAGCAGCAGAGACTGGGAAAATTAGCTGTAATCCCTGCTGCTGATGGCTGTCTGGTGATCGAAGCTCAAAAATACACAGGTAAAGATGGCATTGGATTTACCGAACAATAAAATAGCCTTTCAGCATTTTGTGGATTCTGTGGAGAAGGTGGTGCAAGATGGAATGGTGTTGCATCCACAGTCATGTCATAGGATGCATGTATTCAGCTTCATTGACTTCAATGGAATTGGACATTTGATGGGTTGTATAGTAGGTGGGTCATCCCCTTATTATCCAGTTTGATCCAAAGTGCAAGCTATATTTGTGTCTTATATATGAATAATTGACCACTTTGACAAATTACTGAAGAACTGCGTGTCCCTATAGAGTTGTTATACATTTGGAGCACTGCTTTAAGAGAAAAATTGGTGAATAGAATAAGGGGAATCTGGAGGTGGACCAAGAAATCAAAATCAGATTTGTTTCTAACTCTGTTTCTTTCTCCAGTGATGTTGCTCGAGCTGCTGAGTTTCTCCAGCATTCTCTATTTGTTTTAACTCTCCAGTACCCATGGTATTTTGCCATTGCAGTATTTTCCCTTTATTTGAAGAGGAATAATGGAATATATCATTGCCCTTTGTCACTTCATAGAATACGTCCGAATAGCATCCCTAACAATTAAACAAATTCCATTACGATTAGCACCTCACTCCAAGGACAGCACAAATACTATAAATATGCTGCAAAGCAATTCTAGTTCACCTCTAGAATTAAATCTTGAAATATTCGTGGCCCGCGTTTCGAAATACATGAAATCTTAAAATTCATAACATTTTAATCCATTGCAACTTTATGTTTTTGTACTCAAGCGTATTGAGGAAGACCCTTGCATCATTTGCCACGAGGAATTAGTTCCCCCCAAGGATTGCTATAAGCTGGAATGTAAACATATTTTCCACAAAAAGGTGGGTGTACTTTTATAGCAGTCTTTCGAAAGTACAGCTGTTAATCTTGTTGCGCACTAATTGCTATCCAGATTTCCACTAACTGGAAGAACTGTGATGCAAGTGAAAAAGCATGCATACTTAATATAGTCATAATTCAAAAAAAAGTCAAAGGCTGAAATAACCACTTCCTTCAACCACGTCGTGGACCATGTACTAATATAGTTTGTCACTTGATAAATGTTTGTGAATATCCCATTGATCCACCTCAGATCATGTCACAAACAGCATAATGGGAAATTACTATTTCACTACTCAAATTAGTAACAGTACAGTCTGCTGTATGAAATATTCAGTATATCATACGCAATTGGGAGATCAAGGATCGTTTTACTGTCTGAAGACAGATTTGTTTGTAAGTTGTTTCTGTCCCTCTGTATTTATGACTAACAGGAATATGTGAATAGGCTCTGTTGAAGTTAGACATTTTGTACACCCAGTCAAATTTGTTGTATTACGTGTTTAAAATATACTATTGACTCTAACTGAGCAACCGCAAAATGTTCTCTAAGAAGGACTTTGATATCTATTTCCAAACTTGCTTTTCAATATTGCCTAAGTAGTAAAAAATGAACACTACCCAGCAAAACACTACAACTAGTGTCAGTTGTCATGTTCACCCAAACTATTGACCTGTGACTAGCTAATTTAGAAATAATGTGTTCAGTTAAATATCTGCAGTTTACAAATAAAGCTTAAAATTAGCAAAATGATTGATGATGGTAATTATTCTGTAACTGGGAAAATGAGAAATCTAGTTAAAGTTTAACTTCTTTTAAAACTAAAAGCTACACATGTACAAGTGCAGAACATGAGCAATTAATCCTAATCTGTTGTGCATTACACCATGGTAATTCTTTTCAAAGTAACTTTATTATCGTGAAATGTGCTATCTCCATCAATGCACTGTTCAAACATTGTTCAAATGTCATGTCATAGGCAGATTATAACCTCCAAAAATCTCAATAATCAATGGCACTTTTATTTTGCTGCTTGGGTGCTCAGTTTGCAGAACTAATGTCTAAGCAAAGCAGGAACCGAATACCAAAACGTCAGCCTTCCTGCTCCTCTGATGCTGCTCAGCCTGCTCTGTTCATCCAGCTCTACACCTTGTTATCTCAGATTCTCCAGCATCTGCAGTTCCTACTATCTCTGAAACCCTTCAATCAAACTAGGTCTCTATTTGGAGATTTAAGTGACTAGGTTTAAAAGTTTCCCATTTTAGATAACAATTAAATATCTCTGTTACTGAATTATGAGTAATACAGGTCTTGCATGATGGCAGTCACAATCACGTAGATCAACAAAATTAAAGTGGAAGAAAGTTTGTTTCAGTTTGCTATTAAGTAGCATTGTTGAAAAGTATATTTGGGCAGATATTTGATGAGATCACAAGTGGACTTAGCGAGAATCCCTTTACTATTGCCTTTTAACTCTTATCCAGTAACACAGTTGGAAATAGCAACTTAGGCCAAAATCCACACAGCTGATTCAACATCTTCAGCAGCCCCATGCAGAAGAGGAAGAGGGGCTGTTGGTTTCAAAAAAACAGAATTTGGTGGAAAGAAATAGAGAGTAGTATCTAATGGATATTTTTCAGATTGGAGGAAGTTAGGGTAGATGACAGCCTAGTGGCATTATCAGTTGATTGTTAATCCAGAGACCAGGTAATGTTCTGGGGACCCATGAATTTAAATTCAATAAAAATCTGAAATTAATGGTCTAATGATGAGCATGAAACCATTGTCAGATACCTATTTTGTATATTAGTATCCTTTAGGGAAAGAAATTGCCATTCTTATATGTGACTCCAGACCAACAGCAATGTGGTTGACTCTTAACTGCCCTCTGGGCAATAAATGCTGGCCTAGCCAATGATGCCCACATCCCATGAAAGAATAATTTTTTTAAAAAAAGTTTATTTGTAGACTTTCCCTAGGGTTTGTTGGTTATGTATTAATGTACTAAACCTTTCTTATATTGGGAACAATGATACAACATTTAGATGAATTGTTAACTGCGAGAATAGTATAGACCTTAGAATAATATAAAAGCTACAATTCTAAAGTGGGTGCAGGAGCAGAAAGACCCAGAGTATAATTACATAAATCATTGAAGGTGGCAGGCCACATTAAGAACACGGTTTTAGTAAAATATTGCTATATTCTAGGCTTTAGTAATAGTAACAGAGTATTAAAGCAAAGAAGTTGTATTAAACTAGTGTTGAACATTGGTTCAGCTTCAGCTGTATATTGTGTCTGGTATTGGATGCTACACTTTAGGAAAGATATGATGGCATTGAAGAGAGTACAGAAATGATTCACAAGAATTATCCTTGGATGAGGAATTCAGTTACATTGATTGGAGAAAATGGACTTGTTTTCTATGGATAACAGAGGTGATTTAATAGAGATGTGCAAAATCAAGAGGGATCTGGTCGGATCAGTTAGGGGAAAACTGCTCCCATTGGTGGAAGGATTAAGAACCAGAAGGGCTAGATTTAAGATGATTGACAAAAGAAGTGACAGCAACATGAATGAAAACATTTTTGCACAGGAACTGTTTGGGATATGTGTGATGCACTGGCTGAGAGTATGGTGCAGGCTGGTTCAAACAACACATTCAAGAGAGAATTAGATTATTATCTGAAAAGGAAGAATGTGCAGAGGTCCAGGGATAAACCCAGAAATGGCACTGGGTAAATTGTTCCTATGGCAAAAAAAAATCGATTTGCAAATCCATTGTTGCAATAGTTGCAAAATAAATCTTGGTGGATCAGATGTGGACATACTCAAAATTCTTCTGTGTAAGTGTAAATATAACTGTGGCCACTTAAAGTTAATTCAAATTGGCATTGCATAACATTCTCCAAAAAGTCTATGTTATAACTTGACCTCCACTATAATCCTTATTAACCTTAAATCATCTAATCAATATGTGTAGCATTTATCTTTCCTGCTTGGTTCCAATAAATTAATCCTTATTGTTTGACTATAATATCTGCAAGTATCATATTGAACACAGATTAGTTCACAAGTTATGAAGCATTCATTGTGGCCATCTGTGATAGCTATCCACATAAATATTTTCATAGCTTCTTCCCTTCTTAAAATGTAACACCCCAGTGTGTCATGTTATTGTAAAAAAAAGTAATTTCATGTTATCTTTCCTGATATGAAGCCAGGCTTCAAAATTCCCTAAACGCACAGCAATTAGTCTGTGTTCACAGTACTTACATTTTATGGCTTTAAAAGGATGAAACAGGTGAACAGAGTACCAACCTTGCAGCAAAATAGTACATTCTGCATTAAATAATGATACTTCTTTTGCCATTTTGAAGCAGCCACGTGAACTCAACCAGATATATGTGCATGAGCATATGTACATGTTTGAATGCAAATGTTCATGTTATATCCATAATTAATTTTTCAGAAACTGGCTAAAGTTTCAAAATGGGACCGTTGACCTTCATACTTCAGCTCAATCTTAATGTGTTAAGCTTGATTGCTCAATTATACCCATTTACATTCAGGCCCATCCAGGCCTGAATGAGAGATAACTATATTTGGCTGCTTAAATAACATATCATAACAGCTATAATAAAAGAACTGCCAGATGGAAATTCTGAAAAACAAGATCCATGATTTCATATCATAAAAACTTTATTCTGCTTCTATGACAAATATACAATACTTTGGCCATCTGCACGTGCACAATCTTGGTGCCCTGAAAAGTGCTACCATTGCAGCTGGCTATTTTAGTTCATACTATTAGAAGTGGTCATCATATTTCCGAGGGCCACGCCCTAATCACTGGCTCCACTCAAGGGTTATTCTCATGAGTAGAGTCATAGAGATATACAACACGGAAACAGACCCTTTGGTCCAACTCGTCTATTCCGACCAGATATCCTATATAAACTAGGCCTATTTGCCAGCATAGGCCCCATATCCCGCTAAATCCCTCCTATTCACATACCCATCCTGGTCCCTTTTAAATGTTTTAATCGTACCAACCTCCACCACTTGCTTTGGCAGCTCATTCCATATACTCATTACCCTCAGAATGAAAATGTTGCCCCTTAGGACCTTTTTATATCTTTCCCCCTCACCTTAAACCTATGCCTCTAGTTTTGGACTCCCCCACCGCTGGGAAAAGACCTTGTCTGTTTACCCTATACATGCCCCTCATGATTTTATAAACTTCTATGAGGTCATCCCTCAGCCTTCGACACTCCAGGGAAAATCGCGGCAGCCTATTCAGCCTCTCCCTTTAGCTCAAACCCTCCAACCCTGGCAACATCCTCATAAATCTTTTCTGAACCTTTTCTAGTTTCGCAACAAAGAGTAATGCTACAAGACAACTTACAATAAGGAAAAGAGGATTGAAATACACAGTTACATGTTCACAGCACTTTTATGTGCTTTTAGATTTGAAATTATATTTAGTGCAATAGAATATTAATGGCATTTTGAAGGTTTGTTTTATGCAATGTAAATTGGGCTAGAAACCTTTTTAACTACTGCAACCTCGAACATTTCAAAGTGAAAAGATGAATTCATTTCAGATGCTCAGAAAAGATACTAATGTCAATCTGCATAATTAAACAAGTATTGTTTTATTGGTATAATATTGGGATTAAGCAGTGTAAAAATTAAAACTGAAAAGGAGACAAAACAAACTGAAACCTCATACATCTTTAAAAAGAAGATTGAAAACAATGAATTCAGTTATTCCTATACATTTGGAAGGTTGATTGTAAGAATTCCATCATAAAAGTGCCCAAGAGTTTTTTTTCAGATAAAATTTCAAATTTTAAAGATTACCATTGTGCCCAAGATTATTTTTCTGGACAAGGATGTAGTCAACAATGCTGGATGCCCAAACTGCTCGGACAAAATATCTCATTCACAATGCAGAACTGTTAAAGAAATTATCCTATTGTAATTTAAAGATACAGAACGAATCTACAGCAGTGACAGCCATCAAAGCGCATGATCCTATCATTAGTTTGAAATTGTACATTTTTCACTTTATTATTTAGAAAGGTACTTGTAATATAGATATTTTCTACCTCACTTCCTGACATTATTCTCTAATATCTGAACTACTATTCTTTTCTTTCCAGTGTATTGATTACTGGCTGAAGGAACAAAGCACATGCCCTATTTGCAGGATTCTTGTGCGAAAGCCAGAGGACTATCCACAGCTTTCAAAAAAATAAGGTTCTTTCTTAAAGTAACATTTGACAAATGGGACTTTCAAGCAAGAAAATAGATATTAGATTGTGAAAATACGTATATTTGAAATGAAAAAAGAGAATAATGTTATTTAAATACTCATTGTGTAGAACCTCATGGTTTGAAATGTTTTGTTCACTTTTCACAACATTCACTTTGACTGCGATCAGTCCTGATTAACTTCATTATCCTTTAAAGTTGTGATATCTGCATATATTGTTTCATGTAGTTACTGCAGGGATGATTTTACTTTGTTTCTCCAATACCAATGTTACAGTTTTGGAATCAGGAGTGTGAATAAATGTTTTTGATTTGCATTACTCCTTGGTGAAACTTAACGCAGAAGGAATGCAATAGAGCTTTATTTTAGCTTACAAACCATCAATCTCCATTATTCTATGGCCTCAAAATACGTAGTCATGCATATGATCTTCTCTGACATCTGGACTCTCTTACTTCCACCTGGGACCACAGGTTAGCATTCAGGAGGCAGAACTCTTAACAGGGGAAAGAAGAATATATCTGATGACTGGAGGTTTGAATGGGGGACTTGGCTGGCTCAATTATCCTCAGATGTGCATTTACCAACTCAGACAGCAGTTTTTGAACTAGAGATCAAAAAGTATTTGTTTAGTTGAAGAGTGAAAGAAGAAAAATAACAACTCAGACTGACAAAGGAGCAAGAGTGAGGAAGTTTAGTCAAAACAATTGAGAGAAGACAACCAGGTTGATACAGGAAGATGTGCAATTGGGAGAAGTTGTGAAAACTTCAGGCAACATCCAGGAAAATCCTGAAACATGAATATTGTAAACTTCAAATTGTTTAACTTACTTCTGGGAGAAGGTAAGAAAACATTGTATTCAATGTATGCCTATGAATTACTTTTATTCACTTGTGGGCCATAGGTGTCACTGGCTGAGCCAGTATTTATTCCCCATCCCTAGTTGCCCTTGCTTAGCTGCCTTCTTGAATGGCTGTAGTGTATTTACAGTAGGTAGTTCCACAATTTGTTAAGGAGAGAACTCCAGTATTTTGACCCAGTGATTTGCATATTCTGAATTTATTCCATTTTATTATAAAAGCAAAAAAAATCACAAAGTGAGTATGTAGTTAAACACATAGCTATTGCATTTACCTTCTAATGTAAACCCTATACTTTATAATTCATTCAGTGTGTGGGAGATATTTATCAGCCAGCATGTTCAGTGATTCTGGTACAAATTTAGTTATATCTCAACCAGTTTGCAATTTATTTATTTAAGCAATGATATCATTCACTTACTTTTAAAAATAATGCTTCTGTTTATTTAGCAGTCAACATACTGAGATAATTCAGAGTCTTGCACATACAAATTACTTTCAAGGTGCAGTGGCTGTTATGTGAGCTGATGTGACAATTAATCTGTACCAACAATGTCCCATAAATAGCCATAAGGATCAGTAGTCAGTTAATACAGTATTGGTTGGAAGAGAAAAGATAACCAGCATCACAGTGACTGTTTCAAACTTCAACATTACTCACTACAGCAAAGAATTCAGTTTGAAATATCATTGAAGCCAGTTGACAAAATTGTCTGGACAAACCAGTTGTGTATCATCATTAACGAAGAGCAAACTGTCAAGATGGTCCTGATTCATACCAGAAATACCCTACTCTGTGTGTGTTTTTCTTAATACACATTATAATAGTTTGCAAGTAAGAACAGTGACTATGATTTTCTGACAGGTTAAAAATATTGCCTCATTTATAAAATAGCTACCTGACTGTCTTGATTTTACAGAAAACAACTTTCCATTAGCTCATTTCTCAACCAAGAAGCACTCAAATTTTACCCTTGCATCTTGTTGTTTGATACACAGATAAGATTGGATTAAAAAAAAACAATAAAAATGTACAAAAATTTAAATGACTCCAATTACTTGTAGTTGTTCATTTTCGATGCCAGAGAGGTTGACTGGCGCAATAAACAGTTATCACATAAGTGCATTTGAGCTTGACACAAAATGTTAACATTCTATGGCTTGCATAAAAAAGGGTTTTGTTGCCAGGAATCATGCTGCATTTGCAGTTTGTTAGTTTGATAGTCTAAAAGCAGTATTTTTTGCAGAATTGTAATTTCAAGAAAAGATTGAGTCTGTTGATTGTTTTGAACCTTGTTCCTGTGAACTTTGCCTTAAACCTATACGCTTACATCTAGCAATTCTTACGTGTTTATGAAAGATAAATTCACTTGATATGCTGTGCACGTGTGCCTTTAAGAATACACCTCAACCACCACCGACGCTCAGTATCAGCAGTGTGTACTAAGTACAAGATGCACTGCAGAAAATTGCCAAAGATCTTCAGACAGCACCTTCCAAACCCACGACTACTTCCATCTAGAAGGAAAAGAGCAGCAGATATGTAGGAACATCACCACCTGCAAATTCCCCTCCAAGCTACATACTGTCCTGACTTGGAAATATATTGCTGTTCCTTCATTGTTACTGTGTCAAAATCCTGGAATTCTCTCCCTCAGAGCACCGTGGGTCTACCTACAGGATGTGGATTACAATGGTTCAAGAAAGCAGCTCACCATCACCTTCTCAATAACAACAAGGGACAGGCAATAACTACTGGCCAGCCAGCAATGCCCACAACCCTTGAGTGAATGAAAAAAATGTAGGGCTCAGTTTTCATGAAACTAATCGTAAAACAGTGTTCTCCAACAGCACATTTTACTTTTCTTATTTAACCATGTAACTGTCCTCATATGATATTGTGGGGTATTTACAAATAATTGAGTGCTATTTGTCTGTCAATTACTTTGATAGCAATTTTTTGGCCACCACTTTCCTCAGCAAACTGGCATCAATGGATTTTCTGAGATAACTTTCTCTAACTCCAAAAACTTTGCTAGAAATTACGGTGCTTGGTACGATAAAAGAAAAACAATATTACATTTATTGCTGAAAAAGCCACATTTGTAGAAACTTTTTGGCTTGCAGTCATTAGGACAATTTGCAAGAATATTTGCAAGATGAAAACCAACTTTTATCTTGCATGAGAGGAGAGTGCTGCTTGGTTGACAAGCAGATTCTGATTGTTGCCATGGAGAATGCACCAATTTATGATGATTGAAAGTTAACAGCCAAGCATTGTTTGAATTCTAAACCAGGCAAGTTGATTCCAGTTGGTCAAGAGATTGCTATCAGAAATTAAACATCAAATAATGACCACTTTTGTTCAGTTGAAACAGGCACAATGTATGTATATGTCTTTTCTGTCTGTAATGGACAGGGCACTGTGTAGCCCAGTACCCAAAGCTTGGCTGTTACGTAACAATCTTCATAGCCTTGGGGAATGCACCAATCAATCAGTCAGCCCACTTATCAACAAAACAGCACTGTCCTCTCATACAGTATAAGTGTTGGGTTTTTTTCCTCGAATTAGTATTCTATCAAATTGTCCTGATGAATGTGAGATAAAAATCTTCATCAAAATTGGTCTTTTCTCAGCAATACTCAGGTTTTGAGTATGACTATTAAATGTATATTTTTTTTACAGTCACTGGATGTCTCAGCCATTCAGATGCTTTTGAAATACTGGAATGCAGAAAACATGGCAGCTAATTTGCATCCACAAACAACAATGTGATAATGTTGGGATCTTTTTATGATGTAGATTGAGGAATAAGTATTGTCCTGGACCCCAGTGATCATTCTTCTGCTCTTTACGATTGCACTGTGGGATTTTTACATTAACAAACACAGGTAGATGGGGCTTCAGATTAAGTTCTCAATCATAAAAAAAGGGTTTTAGGAGATAAACATAAAATGCAATTATAGGGATTGTCATCTCTATTAAAATATCCACCAGAGAATGTCATACAAATATGTCATCCACTAATGTCATCAAAGCTAAATGTTTGGCTCCTATTTGGAGTGGTTACACATTTTTGAAGTAGAATAACATCAAAGGAATACAGATTAATTTGCTGCATCTTGTATATTTCATCTACTAGTTTGAGCAATCCAGGCTGCACTGAACATCATTTCAATTAGTAGACAGCAGCCACAAGGTGCAGATATGAGAGTAGTGGGATTTTCTCACAGCCAGTTGCCATAGACACTTAGATTGGCAAGATTTATTGTAAATCAGAACATCTGTCTGTGCAGCCTGCTGACCAATGATGTAGCAAATTGGTTTGTGAAATTTTTCAGTAAAAGGTTATCAAAAAGCATAGCCTCATTTCATTTGTACTTGAGATCACTCTAACAGTACTAATCACATGAAATCCATCTAAAGTGTTTGTGTGGAGGCAGTCTTGTTAGAAAAGGGATTGGGAGGGTGGTGATCATGATATGGTCTCAATTAGTTTTATCTGGGTATGACAGTTTCCACCTGAAATTATGAAAAGGTAATTAGGCATTTCTTTTAGATAAGTAAAAATTATAAAGAACATTTAATATTACGTGTGTATTTCAAATGCAGATCTTGTAACGGGTTTGTCACAGTGTGGAGCTGGAGGAATATAGCAGGCCAGGCAACATCAGAGGAGCAGGAAAGTTGATGTTTTGGGTCAGGACCCTTCTTCGGAAATGTCCCTGGACACGGTAGTTAGTCTCACATCTGTCGTTGGGGAAAATATGTAGAAATGAGGGGGTAGTAGTTAGTTGCGGTGCAGGTTTGGGGAACGATTCAGTTGAAGGCTGTAGGTGGGAGTTCACCTGAGGTGATGAGGTTATGAATGGTCACAGCCTCCAACCTCATTGTTCCCCAACCCCACACCACCCGTTTCTATCTCCTTCCCAAAACCCACAAACCTGACTGCCCCAGCTGACCCATTGTCTCCACCTGCTCCTGCCCCACTGAACACATTCTCCCCCTGGTCCAGGAACTCCCCACCTACGTCCGGGACACCACCCACGCCCTCTAGCTCCTCCAAGACTTCCAATTCCCTGGCCCCCAACACCTCATCTTCACTGTGGACATCCAGTCCCTGTACACTTCTATCCCCCATGCAGATGGCCTAAAAGCTCTCCGCTTCTTTATCTCCCGCAGACCCAACCAGCCCCCCTCCACCAACACCCTCATCTGCTTAACCGAACTTGTCCTTATCCTGAACAATGTCTCCTTTAACTCTTCCCACTTCCTGCAGACTAAGGGAGTAGCCATGGCCACCCGCATGGGCCCAAGCTATTCCTGCCTCTTCATAGGATATGTGGAACAGTCCCTTTTCCGTTGTTACATTGGCATCATCCCTCTCCTCTTCTCTGCTACATTGATGACTGTATCGGCACTGCCTCATGTTCCCATAAAGAACTTGACCAGTTGATCAATTTTACCAACACCTTTCACCCCAACCTCAAATTCACCTGAACCATCTCTAATACCTCCCTCTCCTTCCTGGACCTCTCTGTCTCCATCTCTCATAACCACCTCGACACCGACATCTATTTCAAGCCAAATAGAAACCAAAAGAACTGCAGATGCTGTAAATCAGGAACACAAGCAAAGTTGCTGGAAAAGCTCAGCAGGTCTGGCGGCATCTGTGAACTAAAAAAACAGAGTTAACGCTTCGGGTCCGCTGATCGGTCAAGGGTCACCGGGATCACCGGATCCGAAACATTAACTCTTGTCTTTCCTTCACAGATGCTGCCAGACCTGCTGACCTTTACCAGAAACTTTGTTTTTGATCTATTTCAAGCCCACCAACTCCCACAGCTACCTGGACTACACTTCCTCTCACCAACCCGCCTGCAAGAATGCAATCCCTTACTCTCAATTCCTCCACCTCCACCACATCTGCTCTCAAGATGGAGCATTCCACGCCCATACTTCCCACGTCCTCCTATTTCAAGGACTGCAACTTCCTCCTTTCAGTAATCAAGAATGCCTTCAACTACATCTCTTGCATTTGCTGCACTTCTGCCCTCAACCCCCTCCCTCCAACAAAAATAAAGACAGAATCCCCCTGGTCCTCACATATTACCCCACCAACCTCTGTATCCAATGCATCATTCTCCGCCACTTCTACCACCTGCACTCCGACCCCACAATCAAAGAGATATTTCCCTCCCCACCCCTATCTGTCTTTCGTAGGGACTGCTCACTCCGCGACTCCTTCATCCACTTCACACTCCCCACTAACCCCACCACCCCTGGCACCTTTCCCTGCAACTGCAGGGAGTGCTACACCTGACCCTACACCTCCACCCTCACCTCTATCCAAGGCCCAAAGCGAACGTTTCACATCCGACAGGAGTTCACCTGCACATCCACCAACTTGGTCGACTGTATCTGCTGCTCCCGATGCGGCCTCCTCTACATCGGTGAGACCAAGCGTAGACTCGGAGATCGTTTTGTAGAGCATCTGCACTCTGTATGTGACTAATGACAATACCTTCTGGTCACCAACCATTTTAATTCCCACTCCCACCCCCTGGGTGACATGTCCATCTTGAGCCTCTTCCAGTGCCACAATGACACTATACCCGCAAACTGGAGGAACAACACCTCATATTCCGCCCTGGGAGCCTACAGCCCGATGGCCTAAATATGGAATTCACAGTTTTAAAATCTCCCCACCCAGCCTCATCCCATGTCCAACCCTGCCTCTCATCCCTGCCTCCTTGACTTGACACTACCTGTCCATCTTCTTCCCAACCTATCCACCCTACCCTTCCCACCGACCAATCCCCACTACCCATTGCCTGCATTCCCCTATCACCACTCCACCTACCTTTCCACAGCCCCACCCATCCTCCCTCCCGCCTTGTTGACCTGACACAACCTGTCTGTCTTCTCTCCCACCTATCTGCCCCACCCATCCCACTGACCAATCCCCCACCATGCCCTACCTGCATTCACATGTCACCACCCACTTCTCTATTTAATTCTCAGCTCCCTTCCCCCTCCCCATTTCTGAAGAAGGGTCCGGACCCGAAACATCAACTTTCCTGGCTCCTCAGCTGCTGCCTGGCCTGCTGTGCTCCTCCAGCTCCATACTGTGTTGTTTCTGCCTTCAGCATCCGCAGTTCTTACCATCTCTGACAGTTTGTTTCTTACCAGTTATACAACTGAAAAGTAATTTTAACATGAAAATACATTTGCCTTATAAAAATAAATTGTATAAGTATTAAAATAATATGGAACATGGATTTTCAACTGTGGAGTTATCATTTCATATGTCACTGCTGGTTTTGGAATGACATCAGAAGAGGGCAGCATAAGCACTTATTGATGAAAGTTGCTATTTCTGCTCCAGAGTGCAAGCTTAGCACTGGCAGTGGGAGATGTATGTGAACTCTCTGATTGCACAAATTTAATCAAAATTTATCTAGGCAGGTAAGCAGGTTTTTGTTCTATCTGATC